CTTTTCCCAACTCTCCTCAGACCCCTCACTCAGGTACTGCTGGAAGACCTCTCTACGTTCCCGTGTTCGTCAGCTCGTCATCCCACCACGTAACCGATACTCCACATCGTACCACCTTCTTTCCCACTACGCTGTCTGCCGTTGTGTTCACTATGGACTCCCACCCTTCAATCACCTTGTCCCCTGCTGCTTGTACGTCGACCTGTTCGCTTCGACGCTTCTCAGCAGTTTCCTAAAGGGTTCTACACTACCAGCCAGTCCCTTCTGGAATTCATCCCGTGTCCCTCGTCTCCCAAACGCTCTACTTTCCACCGTAACACTCCTCTGTTTCTTACTTTCCATCTTTCTAGATCGGTCGATGTTTGCCCATATGAGGAAGTGGTCGGTCGAACCTATATCTATCGCACTTACGTGCAGCTCTGGGATCTGTATGCTCCCACTATCTACCAGGATGTAGTCGAGGACCGAGTATCCATTGCAAATTGCCCTTTACCTCGTGAACTCCGGCTTATCGCATTCCCTTCTACCGTTCAACGCCATCAGCTCGTTGCTTCCCAAGAATTCAAGCATCCTCACTCCGCGGTCATTCACTTTGTTTTCTCCGTGCTTCCCGGTCGCCTGTCCTCTACTGGAAGCTTTCCCTTCTCTGGAGTTGAAATCGCCCACCATGACAACTTCTCCCTTCCTACTGAACCTCTGGACATTTCCCCAATTTGTCCAAAGTTCTCCTGCTCCTTGCTTGCGACTTTCTTAAACGACGGTAGGGCGTATTCGTTCCCTGGAAACAAATCTTTTTCACTCCTCTCCCCAGGTATCTTAAGCAATAGGGTTTCCTCGAACTCCGTTTGCACCACTACTTCCACCACGCCAAACAAGACTTCCTTGAACAGGAATCCGACTCCGCCCTCCCCCCGTTTCTTCGGGTCTTAGCCCTTTCTTGCCTTCCATACCCACCGGTATTTCCCTAGTTTACTGACCACGTCCCCATTCTTCAACTCCAACGTCTCTTGGATCCCCACTTCATCTAGATCGATTTGTTCTACGTGGTCCACTATTTCTAACCGCTTTGCGAACCCACACTTTCCACGACCCCACTCTCAGCCTGTGCTTTTCCCTATTGGAGATTTTGCGCAATCTATCGTTCGCCTTCCGCTTCTTCTCGGACTTCTTCTGACTTGCCTGCTCGCCTCCCCGCCCGGTCCCTTCTTCGCCTCCATCGCCCTCGCCTCTTGTCTCCTTACCTTCTCTCTTTCAATCATGTTCGCGATGCAAAGCCACTATCCAAACTTCCTTACGTAGTTCGACAGCTTCTCGATGTCAACCCCCAAGCAATCTTGGCTGTCTCCTTTGGTCGATGTCACCCGGAAGTGTTCATGCTCTCTCCCTACTTGTCCCCTTGCTAGGCAGTGCAGTCCCTCCCTGTCACAACAGTTTTTGAACTCTATCCTCGTCATGCCCCTTGGAATCCCAAAAAACAGCAGCTCCGACTTGTCTCCCTTCCACAGTTTCTGCTTCCATCCTCCCGGCTTCTTCACCATCCTCATGATCGCTACGGCAACTGGACCGTGGCCACTTGTGCTTCGTGTTTTTTCAGAAAGGTATACGGAATACTCGGTCTTCCCAATCCCAGCGTCCGGCGGGGGTTGCGGTTCCTTTCAGTTTTTTTGCCGGCTCACCGGCGCTAATTAGCGCCTCCAGCATAGGGTCGTAGTCTAGATCCAATTTCACACCTCCTGGCACAAGTACCCCAGTCTTGTGCCGGGCGCTCTACTTAGTAAACACCCAGACGTCCCCCGGCCACCCACTTTATCATTCCAGAAGTCCCGCGGTACAAGCTACTTTCGTCCTGGGAGGTCCGTTTCACCTCAATCCTTTCTGGGACGACTTGGATAGCCTCAGATCCTACTCACACGCCGGGATGGCGCGTACACCAACATCCAGCTTCTCATGTACGCTCCACCATAGGTTGCTACCCCACTTACGCTCCCTAGTAGACCTACCTGCCGAAAGTTTGGCCAACAATTCCTTACTGCTTTATACTCGCCTCTCTCCAATCGAAAACAATGCATTGTGCGTGCCGCACATCTAGCTCCGCAGTTTTTGCGTGGTTGGTTAGGTCGTTCATCTTGCTCGACGTGAGTAATAAGCTTTGCTTTGATGGCTCTATGTTTTGTTGATCCACTTCAAGCTGCGAACATCTCCCCCACCTCCACGGTCCGATCCAATTTGGACCTCACGCCGGAGAGTATTGGGGTGTCTTTCATCTAAGTCCTCCACCGCCCAGTGGGGGACTTGTGTATTTTTTGAATCCCGTACCAATAGGCATGTACCTTAGGTAAGCTTGTGCTTACTATTGACTGTACCCTCCTCATCCTCTGGGGGAGGTAGAGGGGGGGGCGGGGGGGCGCATGGCCTCTATTTTTCAGGGGGGGTTCGGGTACGGGTTGGGGATAGGGACTATGTGTACTGCATTCTCGAATTGTCCCCTCACTATAGATACTGTGGATTTTCAGCATACAACTATCCTCACTCAACGCGTCTATCTGTCCGGCAATCTCCAATACGAATCAACGTGTGAGGTTTCAGTATGCAGCTATCCTCACTCAATGCATCTATGTGTCCGACATCACTCAACCCGTGAGGTTTCATGATGCAGCTATCCTCATTCAATGTGTCTATGTATCCGGCACTCTCAAGTATCACTCAACCCGCGCGGTTCAATTTGCAATAGTCCCCACTCAACGCGTCCATGTGTCTGACAACCTCAATAACCAATCCATCTGTGAGGTTTCAGTATGCAGCTATCCTCCCTCAACACGTCCACGTGTCCGGCAATCTGATACATCACTCAACCCGTGAGGTTTCCGTAAACAGCTGTCCTCACTGCACTCGTCCGTGCGTCACGCGTTTTTGGTAGCTCACACTATGGAGGCTATGTTTGAGGTGGCGTGTTTTTCAGAGCTTTGCTAACAGCGCCAACCCACTTTTGTCTGAATTAAAGGTGATGGCAAACACCGGGGGGGGTGGGGTGTAGAAGTCGTCAGTCCCGCTGGAACTCCCGTCAAATAGCTAAACCGTGCCTAAACCTTAACGCACCGTAGTAGCACGACTCACAGCTGGTGTCATTCAAGCCGTTGGACACCCCAATTGGACTTGTGCGTGCAGAGAATGCCCACCCACGTGGGCTCTGTGGTTCAAAGGCCGGTGGAACAGATAAGCCATATCTGCTCCACCAGACCAAACTCAATATCTACAGGACGTTGTTAACCCTACGAAGACATGTGTTCGCACGACTCACAGTGATCATCGGGCACCAGTTGAACTAGCGGGTGCAGAGAAACACCATCCCACTGAGCCTCAGTGACTCAAAGGCCGGTGGAGCAGATGAGCTCCATGGTTTGGTCGAAACTACCATGTGATCCCTGAGATTCGCCCATTGATGTGGCCAACGTGGCCACAGGACCTCAGTGGTGTCGTGAGACCATACTTCCGACACCGCTCAAAACGTTCCGAGACCACCTCCGATGGGCAGGAAACCAATTTTGCTGTGTTTCCATGGCCACCAGCTGTCGCGCAAGCCGTCATTTGGCCGAAACCAACATGTGGTCCCCGAGATACGCCCAACAATGTGGCCGCAGCACCACCTCGGCGGTGCTGGAAGTGAGCCCATACTTACGACCCGCACAAAACGCTCCGAGAACACATCCAGCCCAAAACCAGTTTTGCTGTGTTCCCACGGCCACCAGCCGTCGCGGAAGGCCTCATTCGGCCGAAACCATCATGCGGTGGCCGCTTGCATGTAGACCTACAGGTTGCCTTTATTCAGACGGCCGAACGAGAGCGCAGGGTGGATCGGTTACATTATCCACAGGGAAGACCATCTTAGTCGCTGCATACAAACGAATGGGAAACCTGGCCACGTTAGGCGGCATGTCCGTCAGCGCTGTGGCCGCGCATAGCCCCCAGAGGTCCATAGGCGTTCGTCGTGGAATAGCCCCGAAAACGGCGAGTCTCGCGAGCATCGGCCGCTGCAGAAGTAGCCCTCCGACTTCTGGTTAGTCCTGCCGCGAAAAACAGAGTGCTTCAAAATTGTCATGTCGCGATCCTTGTAGGTCTGGCCCCGTCGCGCCATTCGGGCATTGAACTCAATTCGGTTGTTGTACGTTCTACCTTTTTTTCACTCGGTTCTGCTGTCTCCACCACGTGAGTACTCGGCAGAGGAATGTCTGTACACCCCCAGGTCTTTGTCTAGTTGGTATTTCACAAAGCGCATACGCGTGCCTATGGTTGCCTGCAGATACTACATGTTTGCTGCCCATGACAGTGCAAGGTACTCTACTGTAGCCGGAACTCCGACGATGTGTTGTCGTTGCGGTTCGCTACCAACTGGTTCAACGGCGCGGTGGTTGTTCAAGCGTTTTGTTCTTCGCTCTACCACGCCGGGCTTCCTCAGTGAGGGTAGACCCGACACAATGCTGCATACTTCGCTGCCGCTGCGTGATGTTCAAGCGACGCTAGCTTGAGCAGCTTTGCTACAGCAATCCTACTGCAGCTACCCCGGAGCGTTCTCGTGTATTCGGTGCTGGTCTGATGCTGAGCCTTTTGGTAGTATGTGGATGCGGCTGTCCAAGGAATGCAACAGCGTACGTGGAGCTGCTTAGGGTGACTCGACGCCTCTAAAAACTCTTACACTGGGCTCGGCAGTGAAGCTGTCTCGAGACCGATGTATTGTGCGGTGCCCTCGGTCGTGAATGTCGTACCTTTCGACCACTTGTCAACGCATAAGGGTATTTGATCAGGGCAAGAGAGCAAGGGAGCCACCGCACGAGGGGCCCACAACAAAGGCACATCCGTACAGACTGCAATGTTTTCTTCATTTTCGCCGGGGAGAACGTCGAAAACGCGTGCTTGAAAATAACTCGGAACCCTACATGCAGTTGACTTCAAGCAGTCTTGCCCGCCATTCCCTCGCCCTCTTTTTTGTGCTGCCGCCTTGAGAGGAACGCATGGCAGAGGTCGGGGTGAACGCAATAACCATTCTTCAGGTTTTAGCCGAGATCCGTGGTGTAGCTGAAGGTATCCAGGAAAATGATGAGCAAGCGCATCGACTCTCCGAGAGAGTGAAAGCTATCCAGCCTGGCGTGCTTGCCGTCAAAAACGGCAAAAGAGGCGTTTCTCCCGAGTCGCTGCGTCAGCTCTTCGAAGCTTTGGAGGCAATCCGAAACTTCCTGCACGGGTATGCACGATCGAACTTCCTCAACCGCATCTGGAGGCGGAGATCGAATGCTTCTAGATTCAGGGTTTTCAGCCACGACCTGTCGGAGGGTATGCAGGCACTTCAGATGGACGTCCTCGTGGACGTATGGGCAAAACAAGATGTATCAGACCGCCTGGAAGACATCGCAAACTTAAAGCATGAGGCGAGAAGAGGGGAGCGCAACAGGAACGACAACCGCGCAGAGTTTTCAAGAGCCCTGGCGGTGAGCATCGATCGTCGTTCAATCTGGCGGTATAGAAGCGAGTCGCAAGTTTTCGCTCGATCACGATAACGTCCACCGTTTTGCCGCCCGTGTTGTTCCTTTTTTTGCATCGACCTGAGCTGCTTGGCGTAGGTTGTTCGCCATATGCTTTTTAGGACGGGTTGTGCACAATAGCGGCTTCAAAGACGAGCACATGGTACTTCGCCACACGAGATGCGCGTGCATCACGCTGTTGGTGTTGCCTGCCATGGTATCAATGCACATGGTACTTCGCCACACGAGATGCGCGTGCATCACGCTGTTGGTGTTGCCTGCCATGGTATCAATGTGACGTTGCTGCAGGCTTCTACAAGGCATTTTCGGTCGTCTGATGTGTATCCCCGCATCTCTCCGAAATACCGCGCTGCCCTACTTAGGAACTCGAAAAAGATGAGCGATCAGAGCTAAAGGAGCTGTCAGCGTGGGTCGAAATCGACTTTGACAATGACCTGGACTTCGAGGGTAGCATCCGACTTGGGTCGGGGAGTTTTGGAGAAGTAAAAACGGCAAGGTGGAACGGATCGGAGGTGGCGGTGAAGCACCTCCGAGAAGATGATAATCGTGACCTAATTCGCGCCATCAGGAAAGAAATTCGCACTCACGCCAGCCTTCGCTTCGACCATGTGGTCCAGCTCTACGCGGCTTCTACCATCGCTCCCAACCTTTGCATGGTTATGGAGTACGCCAGTGAGGGTTCGCTGTGGCAACACTTGCACTCAACCAGGAAGCCGCTCGCACACCCGCTGCAGGCGGCATTTCTGTTTGATATTGCCAGGGGTTTGATGTTCTTGCACAACAAGGGCATTCTGCATCGTGACCTGAAATCGGCGAATGTGCTGGTGTTCGCCAACCGCCGCTTGAAGCTTTGCGACTTTGGATTGTCCAAAGTCATAGAAGAATCCTCAAGTAGGTCAAAGAGGGGGCCTGTAGGGACCACACCATGGATGTCTCCGGAAGCGATCAACGGCAGCGCGGCAACTCAACTGACGGATGTGTACAGGTGAGGAATGGATGCGGGTCGTGTTGTTTGATGGTAGTTGACACTGCTGCCCATTCCCGCAGGTTTTCATGAAATTCTCCTTGCTAAGTCATTTTTCATCTTCTGCCTGATGTCGTTGACGCTTCCCTGCCGAAATTGCCACTGATGGACCGCTCTTGTACCCACCCATGCTGTACCCGGCCAGTTTTGGTGTCGTTTGCTACGAAGTGGCCACCCGAATGGAACCGTTCAGAGGAATGATGCCTGTGCAAGTGATGAGGGCGGTTGCAGACATGGGAAGTCGACCAGAAATCCCGGCAGGGGCGTCTGCCTCACCCGATGTTGTGCCTCTGATGGAGCGATGCTGGAAGCAAGACCCTGCGCAGCGCCCCGACGGATTCATGCCGGTGGTTGAGGAGCTAGGTAGAGTTGTGCGGCGTGTGGGAGACCCTAGACACCACAGCTCGGCTGCGAACGATGTTTTCTCGTCACCAGGTGCAAAGCACGGTGGTAGTGGTGCGTTGAGTGTTGCCGCAAGTACAGAACCGCTTACGGCCGGGGGCGACCTTAGGGTATCTCCTCTCAGCATGACGACCGAGCAGAAACCGATGGCTGCAACTGCACCAGCGCCGGAACGATCCGTGCAAGACGCTGGCACGGACCGCGCGGTCCTCATGGCGCTGTATGGTTTTACGAATGGGCCGCCAAGGAAAAGGTTTTTTGGAACGACGATTGAAGGATGGAATAGATCGAAGGGCTGGGGGACATCTCGCCCAATTGGGAAATGGCACGGCATTACGGTCGATGACAACTGCCGGGTCATCGAGCTGGAACTAGCAGGCAACAACCTTGGAGGTGAGGGGTTCTTGTTATCATCACTTGTGGTGTTAGCGCCCAGTGATGCTGCTAGACAGCTGTGAGTTTGACGTGAAGCTTGAACCTGACTGGTGTATCTTCGCTAGCCGTGACCGGGTTCGGTAGAAGGCCCTTTTGTTCATTGTGTTTCGTTGTCTGATTGGTGGTGACGTTAATGCCTTGGCCGTATCGTTCATTGTGCTTTCCATTTTCCAACGGATGCCCTTCAGTTGGTGCGTTCTATCTCGATCTCATATCCCAGTCCCGACACCTTAGATCCTGTCAAATTACTTCTCCCCTCTAAGCTTCTGGGCATCCGACGATGTCTTATCGTAGACGTTCTTGACGATGGCAAACCTCCCCAATGTAAACATAGAGAGGGCTATGCACGGACTAGTGTTTGTCGCTCTCGCTTCCAAACCCTCTGAGAAAGTCTGAGAGAGAACAAGCCTATGTTGTAGCAACCGCCGTACCGCAGCCTCTGTTCGAGTGATCTATTCCGTCTATTTCATCGAAACACGGCAGTCCTTGTGCAGTGAGAGACTTCTCTCATCCGGCAACAGTGTGACTCCATATCGCTTGCTCTAGAATCGCCCCTCACCCGGGAAAATGATCGTGGCGTGTGTACTGTTGGTCCGATCGATTCGCCCCAACAATGCCTTGCGTGTCGTTCTTCGATTTCCGCATGATTTGAATACTTGAACGATCTTCGTCGGCGGGTGAGGTTGGCCGTTGGCGGCGTTGTCTGGCCACGTTGATGCGGTAGTTTCGTTGCTCTTGGCGTTTGCTCATATTAGCTTCGTTGTACTGCAAGAGTTCTTGATTTTTTCTCTCCAAGCTCGAGAACGGTGACAGTGTTTTTCTAAGTAGACCGTTGCGAGATCAGAGATGCATGGGATTTCCACATGTACGGCGTACTATCGCACGCAGTCCTGTCAGTATATGTATTTGTGCAGGCAAGGTGCTGCAACGGCAGAGGCCTAAGCGAGCGTTGTATCCCCGAGACTAATTCACCTGGTTGGAGTTGCGACTTCATGTCCTGCGCCTTTTTTCTGAACACGTCTTGGGCACGCAGGACTGATTCCGGCCGAGCTAGGGGGGCTGACGGCCCTGAGACGTCTGGACCTCTCCGAGAATCAACTCAGCGGTGAGAGACTTGCCAGTGACACTTGAAATTGATTTACTTGTTGCTCTCCTCATTTTTTGTATTTTCGTTGACATTGCTTCGCAGAGGGGTAGAGAACCCCAAGGAAGCAGAGTGAGAGGATGAGGCGATTGGGCGCTCATCCTCGAAGAAATGGAATCACACCTATCCGGCAACGTGGACCAATCACGCGTGTTCAGAATACGGCGCTGGTATGCTAAACAGGGTGCGTTCCCTGGAACAGAATACTTCATGGCCATGCTCTCGCACTTGCTACGAATGCATATCAAGTACTGCGCTTGCGCGCATAAGTGATTGCTTGCACTGACGTACGACAAATCGCAGAATACAGCTTCAACAGCTGAACTACTTCCGAAGTCGGCTGCTGAGCGCATACGGATATTCATTCATATTCAAGCACGCAAGTCGGAACCAGCGCATGTCTTTTCAAGCACGCAAGTCTGAGCTGCGTGCAATCTGATCTAGTTCGTGGAAATCTGGAGCAGCACATTGTGCATGAAACACAGAACGTCAACCAACTTTGTATATCGAGCGCTTGTTCCGAGTGTGACAGCCCACACGACAGTTCATCTACGACATGATATCGGGACCTTTCCAATATTTGAACTAGTCAAGCTGACTACCTATTGGTGAAGCTACGACGGTGCAAAATATTTTAACACCACCGTCGTCGATGGATGTGAGAAGCGTAGGCGGACTATTCTTGAAAGCAGGACTAACGCTTATTTCAGGGTAGGGTCCACAGATGTGGTTGTGAGGGTGAAACAGTCCCAGATTGTGTCTAGCCGCTCACTCCACTGTCATCGTGATATTCGAATGCTAGTTTGTCCAGACGGCATTGAGAATGGTGAATACTTCGATATAAACAAATATTCCTGTCAGGCCTGAAAGAGACGTGTGGCCCTGCTTTCGAGCACTTAGGAGAACTCTGTGCGAGTGATCCAACCCTTCTATTACGTCGATACACGGCCGTTTTCGTGCGGTGAAACAATTGTCGTTTCGAAAAGCGGTTGCACATCCACGTGTGGCACCAGATCGCTTGCGCTAGTATCGCCATGCAGCGAGGAGAATGACCCTGGCGTGTTTGCTTTTTGTCCGATGGATTCACCCCAACAATGCCTTGGGTGCCGGTCCTCGCCTTTCGCATGATTTGAATACTTCCACGGTCTTTGTCGTCGGGTGCGGTCGACCGTGGGAGGCACTGTCTGGCCATGTTGACGCCGAAGTTTCGTTGGTCTTTGCATTTATTCATGATTACGTCGCTCTACGGCCATAGTTGTCGATTTGTCCACCCAAGCTCGAGGACGGCCGAGTGTTTCTCCAAGCGCACTTATGACTGATCAGNACGTGTTTGATGTCCTGCCCGATATTTATGTACATGTCTGTGGGCGCTTAGGGCCGATTCCGTCACGACTGGGTGAGCTGACGGCGCTGACAGCTCTGCATCTCCATCAAAATCAACTCAGCGGTAAGAGAGTTGACAGGGAGGTGGATTCGTCCTCTCAGTGCATTTAGTCCTCATTTGCGTTTTGTTTTCCTTTGGACATAAATTTTCGCCGCCGTCCGTTGTTTCGAGGGAAACAGATATACAGTATTTTGATACCGTGCGAAAGAATTGTCTTTTCAGGCGACAGTTACACGTCCACGTGTGACCCCACATGGCTTGCTCGAGGATCGCCCTGCACCGAGGAAAATGCTCCTGGCATGTGAACTGTAGGTCCGATGGATCGCCCTTCCGATGCCTTGGGTGTCGTTGTTCGGTTTTCGCATGATTTGGATACTTGGACGGTCTTGGTCATCGGGTGCGGTCGACCGTGGGAGGCATTGTCTGGCCATGTTGACGCCGAAGTTTCGATGGTCTTTGCATTTATTCATGATTACGTCGCTCTACGGCCATAGTTGTTGATTTGTCCACTCCAAGGTCGAGAACGGCAGAGTTTTTCTCCAAGCGCACTTTTGACTGATCAGAGATGCATGTGGTTCTTGCGGCCGCCATACCGTAGCCTTAAGTCGAGTGATCGAACCCTTGTGTTTCGTCGAAGCAAGGCAGTGTTCGTGCGGCGAAAGCATCATAATTTCAGGCGACAGGTACATCTCTACGTGCTCCTGGCGTGTTTACCGTTTGCCCGACGGATTCGCCCCAACAATGTCCTGGAGTGCTGTTCTTCGCTTTTCGTATGATTTGAATATATGCACGGTCGTTGTTGTCGGGTGCGGCCAACCGTGGGCGGCATTGTCTGGACATGTTGACGCCGTTGTTTCGAAGGTATTTGCATTTTTTGAGGATAGCCGCGCTGTACTTCAACAATACTTGATTTGTTCTCTCGAAGCGCTAGAAGGCAACAGTGGTTCTCTAAGTGCACCGTTGAGAGATCAGAGATGCATGGAGTTTTCGCATGCCCGGCGTATTGCTGCGGCCATCAATCGCATGTAGTCCTGTCAAAGCTTTGAATTTGTGCAGGTCCGGCGCGTTCTCCGTCGGTGGCAGATGCTCAAGCGCGCGTTATGCCCGCGTTGTTTCAGCGTGTTTGATTTTGTACTCCTTGTTTGATGTCTTGCCCTGTTTTTTGTGCTGGCCTCGGGGTGCTCAGGATCGATTCCGGTGGAGCTGGGTGGGTTGACGGCGCTGACAGTTCTGGGTCTCTACCAAAATCAGCTCACCGGTAAGAGAGTTGACAGGGACGTGGAATTCGTTCTCTCGGTGAACGTACTCTTCATTTGCGGCGGTTGCGGTCTGCGTGGAGGGTGCGCGAGTAAAGCCAGCGAGGAATAGTGTAGTCTTGTCGTAGAGATGTACTTGCGCGACCACCGGCGACGTTTGTTCTTGCCGTTGTAGAATTTTCAGAAATCTCATTTGCTGGCAGGCCGACAAGGTATGCTGACGGGCTTGTCTGTGTCGTTGACGTCCGGTCTCTTTGGGCTTCTCGCCGTGGACGTCCTCCCTCCCTCAGGTGCCGTCCCGCCGTCCCTGGGTGGATTGAAGTTGCTGACCTATCTGGGTCTCTACAACAACAAACTCACCGGTATTTATGGCCGAGCGGCGTCGCCCTGTTATTCATTGCTTTCCTTCGCCCAGCGAAGCCCTGCAGTTGCTGGGTTCTCTCTCGATCTCACATCCCAGTCCCCACACCTGAAATTTTGCCTGATGTCTTCTTCGCTATTAGCGTGTGGCTGTCCAACGATGTTTCGTCGTAGATGATCTCGACGACTGAGAATACCTCTGGGGCTCAAGGCAACACTTGGAGAGGGCCATGTACGGGCTAGTGTAGATATTTCTCGCTTCCAAATGCTGGCGAGAGTGATGAAGGCTGTATTTCTTACGGCCGCCGCACCGCAGCCTTGGGTCGAGTGATCTAACCTTTCTGTTTCGTGGAAGCACGGCAGTGCTTAGGCAGCGAAAGAGTTGTCTTTTCAGGAGACACTTACACGTCCACGTGTGACACCAATCCACTAGCTCTAGTATCGCCATGCAGCGAGGAAAATGCTTCCGGCGTGTTGACTGTTTGTTCGATGGATTCGCCCCACCAATGTCTTGGTGTTGTTCTTCGCTGTTCGCATGATTTGATTTCATACACGGTGGTCGTTGTCGGGGGCGATCAATCGTGCGAGGCGTTGTCGCGCCATGTTGACGCCGTTGTTTCGTAGGTCTTTGCATTTGTTCATGATAGCCTCGTTGTACCGCACTAGCTGTTGATGTGTCCACTCCAAGGTCGAGAACGGCGGCAGTGTTTCTCTAGGTGCACCGTTGAGAGATCAGAGATGCACGTTGTTTTTCACACGTGTGGCGTACTGTGTCACCCATGGATGGGAAGTAGTCCCGTCAGGACTAGTATCTGTGTAGGTCAGGTTCGTTCTACGGCACCGGCAAAGGGTCAAGCGAACGTTGTGTCCGCCAGGCTGCTCCATCCTGTTGGAGTTGCGAATTCAGATCCTGCCCGTTTTTTGCATGCTTGCCTCGGGGCGCTCAGGACAGATTCCGGCGGAGCTGGGTGGACTGAGGGCCTTGGAGACGCTCGTCCTCGAACAGAACCAGCTGAGCGGTGAGTAGATCACGGCTCGCCGACTGGTTGTGTTGGGCTACATAGTACTTGATGTTGCGTGCGTCGTTGAACTGGTTTTCCTAACCTGGAAAAGCGTTAGGAATTGGGAAGTGTACGTCGTTCTGCTGGACGGTTGATGCGTTATTTGTTTTGTCGATGGTGTCGGAGATAGTGAAAGCGTGACGTTGCTCGCGCACATTTGGCCGCTTTACTGGGGTATTCTGTGGAGCCGCTATTGCGCTGCGTTGGGTGGTGCACTGACGAGAGTATTTTGTCCGCCGGTCGGCGGCAACGATCTTGGCGGCAACGGATTGAAATGAACACATGTCGCTGGATTTGACATCGATTCGTGCATGCAGGAGAAACATGAAATAGCATCGATGCACCCTTTTCTTTGCCAAAGTCAACTTGAGGCATTGTCTGAGGGTTTTGGCGTGCCAACTCTTGGGAATGAAGGCTTGTGGGTGATGAAGATTGTCCGGTGTCGGTTGTCGAAGAGGTGTTGTGGATTGTCAAGAAGGTCCTAATGAATTGTTGGGTCCGCGCGTACTCTCTCCGCAGTGTGTCGCGCAGGTAGAATGTGCGAATGCCGCAGCGACCACTGATGTAGTACGTAAGCAGAGCACCCGATTGTGGAATCTCACAGTCACAGGTCAAAGCCAGCACTCAAGTGCTGTGTGTGAGCCTGTAGGTGTCCCGTACAGCTGCAGCGCGGCGTTACGCCGCAACTCTTTGATACGTGAGACTCGTCCCTGAGGACGCAGGAAGTCCGAAGAAGTAGATGGTCGGTGGAAATGTAGTTCGTTGATCAGTGGAGACCAAAAAAAGTGTAGGGAAACAGTGTGAAACCAAGGAGGTGGATCGCTCCAGAGAAGCAGAGGGGTAGAGAACCCCAAGGAAGCAGAGTGAGAGGATGAGGCGATCGCGCGCTCATCCTTGAAGTACTGGAATCACACCTATCCGGCAACGTCTACCAATCACGCGTGTTCAGAATACGGTGCTGGTATGCTAAACAGGGTACGTTTCTGGAACAGAATACTTCATGACCATGCTCTCGATTTTGCTGCGTATGCACATCAAGTACTGTGCTTGCGCAGATAAGTGATTGCTTGCACTCACATACGACAAATCGTAGAATACAGCTTCAACAGCTGAACTACTTCCGAATTCAGCTGCTGAACGCATACGGATATTCATTCATATTCAAGCACGCAAGTCGGAACCAGCGCATGTCTTTTCAAACACGCAAGTCTGAGCTGCGTGCAACACGCAGCACATTGTGCATGAAGCACAGAAGGTCAACCGACTTTGTATATCGAGTGCTTATTCCGAGTGTGACAGCCCACACGACAGTTCATCTACGACATGAAATCGCGGCCTTTCCAATATTTGATCAAGTCAAGCTGACTACCTATTGGTGAAGCTGCGACGGTGCAAAATATTCCAACACCACCGTCGTCGATGGATGTGAGAAGCGTAGGCGGACTATTCTTGAAAGCAGGACTAACGCTTAGACTATTTCAGGCTGGGGTCCACAAGTGTGATGTGGGGGTTGTGATTCACGCATGCAAGGTGTGGAGAAACAGTCCCAGATTGTGTAGAGCAGTAGGAGCTGGTATGGGGGTGCCGACCGATGTCGATGCACCGGCTTTATCCGCATCACAACATCCACCGCGGACGTCCTACATGCAGGTATTCTGCCTGCATTGGATGGACTGAAATCGTTGACATCGCTGATGCTTCGTGAGAACAAACTCACGGGCATGACCCACAGCTGCTCTCTTGGCCTCTTGTCCCTCCTCCCATTCCGACCACTGTCTAGCCGCTCACTCCACTGTCATCGTGATATTCGAATGCTAGTTTGTCCAGACGGCATTGAGAATGGTGAATACTTCGATCTAAACAGATGAGCCTGCAAGGCCTTGAAGAGACGTGTGGCTCTGCTTTCGAGCACTTACGAGAAAGTGATCTAACCCTTGTATTACGTCGATTCACGGCCGTTTTCGTGCGGCGACACTAGTGTCTTTTTAGGCGACAGTAACACATCCATGTGACTCCACATCGCTTGCTCCACCACCACCCTGCATTCATGAAATGGTCCTGGCGTGTTCGCTGTTAGTCTGATGGATTCACCCCAGCAATGCCTTGGGTGCCGTTCCTCGCCTTGCGCATGATTTGAATACTTCCACGGTCTTTGTCGTCGGGTGCGGTCGACCGTGGGAGGCATTGTCTGGCCATGTTGACACCGTTGTTTCGTTGGTCTTTGCATTTATTCATGATGGCTTCGCTCTACGGCCATAGTTGTTGATTTGTCCACTCCAAGGCGACAACGGCACAGTGTTTCTCCAAGCGCACTTATGACTGATCAGAGATGCATTGTTGGTAAATCAGTGGCTTTTGGAGAAGAATATTGTATTAGTGAGACCTAGGTATGGAGAGACAGGTCGGAAAGTGGAGTGAGGACAGGGGGCGAGCGTGATGCTCCCAGCTCCTAACGTCTCCTCCGGATAGATGCACACTCGGAACACAAAGCAATGCACCGAACACGACAATGACCCGTAAGCCCGACCTCCAGCGACAATGCTAGAACGTTCCTACTGGACAAGCATCCAACGTACCACATACCAACGTACCGACTTACACCTACGGTCCGTTGTACGATCCTCACGTGTGTACAATCTACCGAACTACCACAAAGAGTATTCGCAGAACACTCGGCATGACAACCTACGATCGACAGTTCTGCAATTAAAAATATCCAATCAGATGTTCTACCGCAGCTCAGGCGATACATAAGGCCGCTACCACAAAGATGCATGGGGTTTTCACATACTCGGCGTACTCTTTCGCCAATCGAGCGCAAGTAGTCCTGTCAGGATTTGTTTCTATGCAGATCCGGCGCGTTCTGTCGCAACAACAGATGCCCAAGCGAGCGTTCTGCCCGCGAGGCTGTTCTGGCGTGTTTGATTGTTTACTCCGTGTTTGATGTCCAGCCCGATATTTGTGTACATGTCTGTGGGCGCTTAGGGCCGATTCCGTCACGACTGGGTGAGCTGACGGCGCTGACAGCTCTGCATCTCCATCATAATCAATTCAGCGGTAAGCGAGTTGACAGGGAGGTGGATTCGTCCTCTCAGTGCACTTAGTTCTCATTTGCGTTTTGTTTTCCTTTGGAAATAAATTTTCGCCGCCGTCCGTTGTTTCGAGGGAAGCAGATATACAGTATTTTGACACCGTGCGAAAGAATTGTCTTTTCAGGCGACAGTTACACGTCCACGTGTGACCCCACATGGCTTGCTCGAGGATCGCCCTGCACCGAGGAAAATGCTCCTGGCGTGTGAACTGTAGGTCCGATGCCTTGGGTGTCGTTGTTCCGTTTTCGCCTTATTTGGATACTTGAAAGGTCTTGGTCGTCGGGTGCAGCCCGAGTGGGAGCGGCATTGTCTGGCCATGTTGACGCCGAAGTTTCGTTGGTCTTTGCATGTATTTGATCATAGCCTCGTTGTACTGCAATAGTGCTTGATTTCCCCACCCCAAGCTCTCTAACTCTCGAGAACAGCTATAGTGCTTCTCTAGGTGCACCGTTGACAGATGAGAGATGCATGGAGTTTTCACATGTATGGCATACTATTGCGCCTATTGATCGCATGTAGTCCTGCCAGGATTTGTGTCTCTATTGGCCAGGTGCGTTCTGCGGCAACGGCAGAGCCTCAAGCGCGCGTTATGCCCGCGTTGTTTCAGCGTGTTTGATTTTCTACTCCTTGTTTGATGTCTTGCCCTTTTTTTGTGCTGGCCTCGGGATGCTCAGGATCGATTCCGGTGGAGCTGGGTGGGTTGACGGCGCTGACAGTTCTGGGTCTCTACCAAAATCAGCTCACCGGTAAGAGAGTTGACAGGGACGTGGAATTCGTTCTCTCGGTGTACGTAGTGTTTATTTGCGTTCTGTATTCCCATTGACGTGTTATTTCGCCCCCGTCCGTTGGTTCGAGAGAAGCAGATACACACCCTGCCGTTTTGTTGAGCGGCAGGAGTGGTGTGGATATTGATATCGCTCTCTTGGGGGCGGTTGCGGTCTGCGTGGAGGGTGCGCGAGTAAAGCCAGCGAGGAATAGTGTAGTCTTTGTCGTAGAGATGTATTTGCGCGACCACCGGCGACGTTTGTTCTTGCCGTTGTAGAATTTTCAGAAATCTCATTTGCTGGCAGGCCGACAAGGTATGCTGACGGGCTTGTCTGTGTCGTTGACGTCCGGTCTCTTTGGGCTTCTCGCCGTGGACGTCCTCCCTCCCTCAGGTGCCATCCCGCCGTCCCTGGGTGGATTGAAGTTGCTGACCTATCTGGGTCTCTACAACAACAAACTCACCGGTATTTATGGCCGAGCGGCGTCGCCCTGTTATTCATTGCTTTCCTTCGCCCAGCGAAGCCCTGCAGTTGCTGGGTTCTCTCTCGATCTCACATCCCAGTCCCCACACCTGAAGTCTTGTCTGATGTCTTCTTCGCTGTTAGCGTGTGGCTATCCAACGATGTTTCGTCGTAGATGATCTCGACGACTGAGAATACCTCTGGGGCTCAAGGCAACACTTGGAGAGGGCCATGTACGGGCTAGTGTAGATATTTCTCGCTTCCAAATGCTGGCGAGAATGATGAAGGCTGTATTTCTTACGGCCGCCGCACCGCAGCCTTGGGTCGAGTGATCTAACCTTTCTGTTTCGTGGAAGCACGGCAGTGCTTAGGCAGCGAAAGAGTTGTCTTTTCAGGAGACACTTACACGTCCGCGTTTGGCACCAATTCGCTAGCTCTAGTATAGCCATGCCGCGAGGAAAATGCTTCCGGCGTGTTGACTGTTTGTTCGATGGATTCGCCCCACCAATGTCTTGGTGTTGTTCTTCGCTGTTCGCATGATTTGAATACATTCACTGTCGTCGTTGTTGGGGGCGATCGACCGTGCGAGGCGTTGTCGCGCCATGTTGACACCGTTGTTTCGTTGGTCTTTGCATTTGTTCATGATGGTTTGCTGTACGGCCATAGTTGTTGATTTGTCCACTCCAAGGTCGAGAACGGCGGCAGTGTTTCTCAAAGCGTACTTATGACTGATCAGAGATGCACGTAGTTTTCACATACTCGGCGTACTGATTCGCCAATCGAGCGCAAGTAGTCCTGTCAGCATTTGCTTCTGTGCAGATCCGGCGCGTTCTGTCACAACAACAGATGCTAAAGCGAGCGTTATGCCCGCCAGGCTGTTCTGGCGTGTTTGATTGTCTGCTCCGTGTTTGATGTCCAGCCCGATATTTGTGTCCATGTCTGTGGGCGCTTAGGGCCGATTCCGTCACGACTGGGTGAGCTGACGGCGCTGACAGTTCTGGGTCTCTCCCGAAATCCGCTCACCGGTAAGAGACTCGACAGGGACGTGGAAGTCGTTCTCTCGGTGCACGTAGTCCTCAGTTGCGTTCTGTATTCCCATTGACGTGTTTTTTCGCCCCCGTCTGTTGGTTCGAAGGAAGCAGATACACACCCTGCCGTTTTGTTGAGCGGCAGGAGTGGTGTGGATCTTGGTACCGCCCTCTGAGGGCGGTTGTGGTCTGCGTGGAGGGCGCGCCAGTAAAGAGCGAGAAATAGTGTAGTCTTGGCTGTAGAGACGTATCTGCGCGACCACCGGCGACGTTTGTTGTTGCCGTTGTAGAGTTTTCGGAATCTCATTTGCTGGCAGGCCGACAAGGTATGCTGGCGGTCTTGTCTGTGTCGTTGACGAACGGCCTCTTTGGGCTTCCCGCCGTGGACGTCCTTCCTCCCTCAGGTGCCATCCCGCCGTCACCGGGTGGATGGAAGTTGCCGACCTATCTGGGTCTCCACAACAACAAACTCACCGGTATGTATGGCCCAGTGGCTTCTCGCTATTGTTCATTGCTTTCCTTCGCCCAGCGAAAGCCCTGCAGTTGCTGTGTTCTCTCTTGATCTCACATCCCAGTCCCCACACCTGAAATCTTGCGTGATGTCTTCTTCGCTGTTAGCGTGTGGCTATCCAACGATGTTCCGTCGTAGATGATCTCGACGACTGAGAATACCTCTGGGGCTCAAGGCAACACTTGGAGAGGGCCATGTACGGGCTAGTGTAGATATTTCTCGCTTCCAAATGCTGGCGAGAGTGATGAAGGCTGTATTTCTTACGGCCGGCAGCCTTGGGTCGAGTGATCTAACCCTTCTGTTTCGTGGAAGCATGGCAGCGATCGTGCAGTGAAAGAATTGTCTTTTCAGGAGACACTTACACGTCCACGTGTGGCACCAGATCGCTTGCTCTAGTATCGCCATGCCGCGAGGAAAATGTTCCTGGCGTGTTGACTGTTTTTTCGATGGATTCGCCCCAAAAATCTCTTCGGTTTTGGCATATTAACTGTCAACCTGCATTCAACAGAGCCTAGGCTCGCTCGAGGCCGGGTCTCTTCAGCGAGGCCAGCGATTGTTGATTCAACGCCCCCACTGTTGCTTCTGTGTTCTATTTTGCCAGCTTGCCCTTGTATGTCATGTGCGTTTATGAGCGGGCTGCTACCAAGGCATTATGGGGAAAAACGATGCTGTCTGCATCAGGGCGCCCTGTGCAGACCATCCTATTTCGTTACCAAGCTTGTTCGCGTAGGAGAAGCAAGCACAAAATAGGTGGTGCATGTGGCGCGCAGATTGTGGTACAAGCTTTCGAGATGCTATACAAAGAAGCTCTGGATAGGTCTGTGTGTAGGTTTCTTAACTACGCAACTTCTCTTGAAAATTGATTGGATGTTGTTCGGCATGCGGGGATGGCCTTTGCGTTATGTGTTCGGGACGCGTAATGCAGCTCTCGTCGGTGGTCTTCGGCGTCCTCGCAACCAAGCGTTGTCGATTGTTGCCAAGGTTCGTTTGTACAACATGCAAGACGAGCGAGGTGCCTCGTTGTGAACTACTGGTTCCCCTGTAACCTACGTGACTGGTGGACTCTGCCTGCCTGTAGGGCCGATCCCGACGAAGGCGCTGGGCGGATTGACGGCTCTGACGGAGCTGTGGCTCCCCGCCAACATCCTCAGTGGTAAGAGACGGAGCGGCCGCTCTCGATTGTACCACCGGCCTCTCACCCACGACTGCCTCGTTGTTGCGGCAGCCTACGTTCTTGGGGCGCTCGCACCCGAAGATGGCCTGAAATAGTTGGGTGCTCATTCTCGGGAATGGATGTGGCTAAAATAGAACGCCGTACAAGGTAGATTCCGACATCTCGAATGCTTACGAACGTGTAATATTTTCGCTATGTTTCGGTGATACCGTTGGCGGGTTCTTTCGAAGGCCCCCCGCGAGGATCGTAACGCGCCGCGATCAGCTGAGTTTAACGAATGCTTCTCTGTTCAGACTCATTGCCTCACTACTTCACGCGGACGATTGTGGTTTGGCGTTGTTTCGGCAGAGATCGACAAGGCGGACGTCAGGCGGATGCTCCCCAACTGCAGCATTACCTACGTTTGATGTCATCGCCATGGATGGATTTGCACATGTTTAGACTCGAGCAATACAATCAGGGGAGTCAGTGCTGTACCCCTTCGAGTCTTGCGTTGGCACGCATATGCTACTATGGATGCCCGACTGGCACCTCCGATACTGTGGCTGCCCTTCGTCTGGCACGGGGACAGGTTTCTGCGTTGTGACGGCAGATACGAGCATGTCGCTCACTTTGTTCGGGCGCAACTCTTCGATGTGGTGGCCTGAAAAAATACCATGCTCGTATGCATAGACAACAGTAGACTGTACTATATGCGTACATCGCTTCTGACGATGAGTTGCTGGGTGTTCTCGAAAAGATAGACCAAGGTGCATTCTTGTCATCCAGGAAGGAATCCCCATGTTTGGCTCGTTTTACCTTATCGTTTGGCGGTTTTTGAATTAAGGGGATGGTACATTGGTCAGACGGCAGGGTAGTGATTCCCTCAGTACCGTTGAGACGTTTTGTCTGTCGCTTCAAGACTTCGTCAAACGAACCCTGCGGAAACCCTACGCCGTGTTGCTTGTGTGGAGGTTCGTTTGTGTCGAAGTATCGTGTGTGTGGCTTAAGTTTGGCGATCGTGGACATGTGTTGGTAGCCGCGTCTCTTCAAGATCTTTTGCATGATTAACAGAGTGGGTATATTCCCTTGACAAGGTGTTCTTTGTGCTTCATGGACATCGAGTGCTTGTTTTCCTTGTTTTCAACATTGTGGAGGCCTAGTCTAGAGTGGGCACGAGCGCACCCTGTCCTCGTATCTTCGCTGCTAACCGCGTTTGGGTAGCTTGTGGTTCGAGTATGAATAGTCTACGTGTCCGTCGTCCGCTTCTTGTCACCTTTCTGGGCCTCTTCTTATGCAAAGTCTGTGCGGGACAAGAGCGAGCGGGGAGCATCGATGAACAAGGGGTTGCAACCCCGGTCGTCCCACGGCCGCGTTACGTGGAGTGGATACTCTTTTTGGTTGCAGCGTTGTTTGTCCACCTTTCGTTCTTGCCAACAAGCGTGTTTGGATGGTTTTTGAAAGCACCTTCAATGACCGCAAGCACGAGAGCAGGCGATCTTGCTCCTTTTAGTCTCGCCCCAGCAGACTTTACTCACGGCAAAAGTAGGCTGGGGCTCGCTTGAGCGGAGAGATTATGTAGCTAGCTGGGTTATAGACGGTAGGCTAAGTTTGCTTTTTACGATGTTGCTCTTGTTTTCTCGCACCTCATGGTCGTTCGTGTCAGTGTTGCGAGTTTGCAATTAGTGAAATGAACGTATCCATACGGCACCTGCTATACCCCCCTCAGGATAATGGAGGACCATAATGCGATGTAATTAACATTGCCAACGCATGTATGTGGGGGTCCTACGGCTGGATTGCTATCCCGATACGGGCTCGGAGTCGCCGATTGACTTTTATACAACGAGGATAACAACCGCGAATCTTCACTTGGCACCGCGAGATAAGCGATCTTCTCCGCGCAACATGATATTGTGGTGTCTCCCTTGCTTTATACGTGCAGGGTGCATCGAAACACGTCAGCGGAGACAAGAATTTCGCGGTTCAAGCAAATTTTGTGGCCTCTGCTGGCCACGTGTTGCGTCTTCATAGCAAGAACTCAATTTGATATGCACTCTGACGGTAGGCAGCCCACTGCCAGCAACTGATTTGCCATCTGCTCGTCAAGGAAACTAGTAAAAATGAAACGTTGTTGTGATGCTGTAGACTAATTAGATATATTCATGTACGCGACCCACGGGAGTATTCAACGTCAACGCGGATAACGGTGCTGGGCCCCAGGGATGGTCCCGAAGCTCCCCCCAACGCGAACATCGCGCCAAGTCACAAACACGCGATGAACAGCGCTGCTCGCACACAGGACGAGCACAATATCTTTGTCAAATGACAGCGACCACGTCACCATCCCAGCTCGCCCAGCCTTCTTCCGACAGACTAGAATGCCGGCGCGGGACGGCCGAAGACATGTGACATTGACAGTAGGCATCATAGATACATGCTACGTGAACTCTTGCTGAAGGCCAAAGGTTTTTTTTTCCACGATTTTTGTTGGGCAGTTTCATTTGTAACAGCAGAATTAAGCGCTCCGTCGTTGTGGCCGTTCGCTCCTGCTCCATAATCCTTCCACTCCGCTGCTTCCTTTCTGTAGGGTGGTGTACAACTTATCAGCATGCAGCCCGGTGTCGTGGGGCGGATGGCAAGGAAACACTGGCACCAGATAAACCCGACTACCCAGGGAACGATCTTCGAGAAAGTCTTCTGGACATGGATCGTGCACTTCGATGGCGTTCTGTCATTCCCAATAATGTTTTCCCTCTGTTGCCGAGGCGCCTTCCGTGGTGTATCCCATGCGCATGCATGTATCTCCTTGTTGTGTGATGTCGCCCATCTCACTTTTCCCCTTCCTTCCCAATACTTGTCCTCCGCCGCGGACCATCACACCGCCGACGACTACCGTAGGTTGCAAAAGATATCACACCCCCTGGACCGATTTTGAAAGCTTGGTCACTCCGCGACGAAGAGGAAATCAAAGGTTTTCGTAAATAGACAAATCCGGAAGGAAAGGTCTTGACGACGCGGGTCCAACGCCGCTATTTTGGGTACCGCAAAGCTTCTCCTGCCGAGAAACCGAGCTCCGAAAATCGGTCCAGGGGGGCGTGATATCTTATGCAGCGCACGGTAATCACCGCTGCCACCGCCTCCCGAGAAGCAAGAAACGCCGACAGAGGAGGGTGAATACCACGGATGTTTTTGGAGAGGCGTACCAGATGAGGCGTGGGGCTTACGCCTGCATGAATGACGTCATGCTTGTGCGAACAAACACGGCAAAACAACTTTCGATTCCTGTAGAACGAGGCAACCCAGGGCGGCTGAAGGTGAATGAACGTTACAATAGTCACGCGCGGCGTCCTGACCTTGGGTGAACCTCCTTTGTTGAAGCTCTCCCGAGGCCGAGAAAACAGGACATCATGTGTTTGGCTTCATGCCAGCCACAGTCAACGCTGCGGTCGCTTCTATTCACACCTCAGAGCGAGTTGCAATCTCATACGAGACTCGTGCACTGACGAAGGAACGTGTTGTTGTGGGGTGTCATTGCTGTGTCGTATTTCCCTCGTCCACTTGCAGGCGGCCCTGCCCGGTCGTGAGACATGCAAGGGTTCTCGGTCCGAGGCCGGCAGCGCCAGCAGTGGCATTATCTGCGGCGGAGGTGGTCACGCGGACAAGACATGCGCTGCCGTACAGCCAGCCCACTTCAGCCGGACACCCTCTCGAGCATAGTCTAATGAACGCACAGGGTACGGACCTGTTTGGCGGGCGCGTGGCTCGGGGGAGAACAACAAAATGTACAAACTACTAGTCTATGCATAGACTACTGCGCTTCTTTTCGCAAACGGTGAGTTGTTGACCGCGCTGTAGTATTCCTCTTTCCTGCTGCAGGCAAATGACAGGTTCCCAATGTTCACCATCTGCCTGTTGTACCAGTTCAAGGGCAGGGTCCCAGCTCACTGGATAGGAGGAACACGGGCAGTGATGGTTTGGGGGGGTATTCAATATTTTAGGAGTTGCTTCTACCTGCTCATGATATCTACCGCTACGCGTTACGGTTGAGCGCGGCCTCAACCCGTGTGTACTGTCATGTCTAGGTCCGCCCAGCATACAGTTCACCCATAGCGCCATTTCGGTCGCCAATTGCTCGCGATACGGGCTCGTTCCATGTCAGGTTGTAAAGGTGCGTTTTCGATATAGGCCCCAATGTTTGATGAATGCGTGTGCATGATGCGGTAAAAACCCCGTGCATGTATGTCGCATACTTCGTTTGCTTGGTACTGAACTCAAACAGAGTAGCATACTCCCCACAAGTCGTTATGGCAGCTAGATCCAAACCCCGTCTCCCTGCCTAACCCCCCCCTCCCCCTCAACGGACACATGGACGCATTGAGTGAGGATAGACACATACTGAACCTCACAGGTGATTGTATTGGAGATTGCCGGACTCATACATGTAGACGTGTTGAGTGAGGATAGCTGCATGCTGAAACCTTACAGATGGATTGTTTTTTTAGTTTGCCTGACACAAAGACGCGTTGAGTGGGGATAGCTTCACCCTGAAACCCACTGGTTGAGTAATGTTGGATAGTGGCCCACAAATAGATTGAGTTGGTCCAACCTCGACGGCAACCCATTACGGCAGGCGACGATCGATGACTGCACACACGTGATTGACGCGGGCCGGGTGCTAGAGATGCGCTACTATAATAATAGACGCCTTGAGTGAGGATAGACGCATACTGAAACCTCACAGGTGATTTGTAAAGGAGATTACTACTTATACTACTAGACACATAGTCTAGACGTGTTGAGTGAGGAAAGCTGCATCTTGAAACGTCACAGATGGATAGGCTTTTGAATTTGCCAGACACATATATATTCGCGTTGAGTGGGGATAGCTACATACTGAAACCTCACGGTTGAGATGTTGGATAGTGCCAGACACATGCAGTAGACGCTTTGAGTGAGGTTATCTGCATACTGAGACCTCACGGGTTGAGTGACGTTTGCGATTGCCGGACACATAGACGCATTGAGTGAGGGAAGCTGCATGCTGAAACCTCACAGGTTGATTTGTATTGGAGATTGCCGGACACATGGACGCGTTGAGTGAGGATAGCTGTATACTGAAAATCCGTAGCATTAGTGAGGGCCAGGCAGGTTTCCGGAAGAAGAGGGGGTGCGTAGACCACGCATGCACGGTAGGGAGAATCATCCAAGGTAGAAAGAGGGCGGGAAAGCCGACGTACTGCTTCTTCCTGGACGTGAAAAAGGCATACGATACCGTGCGGAGAAATGGGCTGTGGAATCAACTGTCCAAGTACGGCAACAGGGGGAAAATGTGGAGAGTGCTGAAGAAGATAACAGAGTGCACGAAAAGCGCGGTCATGCTAGACGGAGAACTGTCACAATTCTTCGACATTGAGCAGGGGGTCCCACAAGGTTGCACGCTGTCCCCAACATTGTTCCAGGTGTTCATCAACGATCGGTTGGAAGTCGTAGAGGCAGTCCGGAAGGGAGTAAAAGTAGGGGACACAGAAACGTCGGTGTCAGTCAGGAATGCTGTTTGCGGATGATTTTTTCGGTATTTCGGACACCCCTGAGGGACTAGTTCTAGCTAGTCTACTGCAATTGTCATGGTATCCAACGAGGACAAGGAGGAACCAGTAGAACATAGATGGAGGTGGGGGATGTGGGGGATCGAGGAGATTTGCAGTAATGGACCAGTACGCATACCTCGGAGTAGAGATCGCAAAAGGCTCCTCGTGGTGTGCTCACATGTCCAAGGCAGCGGAAAAGGGCAAAGCACCACCAGCAGGGGAGCTGCACCCAATAGACTACTCGCAAACCGGCACCTCGATACACGCATCAAATTGACGGTTTTGAAGAGCGTAATCGTACCGCCGCTAGAGTACGCCGGAGAAGTATGAGAAGGAAATAAGAAGGTAGTCAAAGAACTCGAGGCGGCGCAGATGAAAGCAGCGAAAACCATCCTAGGATGCTCCAGGCGCACAAGTAGCGCAGCCGTCAGGGCAGAATTGGGGATCCAATCCCTACGGGCGGGAAGCGACGCAAGGAAGCTGACATGGCAGTATCGTGTTTGCGGCCTACGCCACTTATTTATCGGGTGAGACTGTTTTGGTGATGTATTAACTTCACGAGAGGTAGACGACCGTCCTTCACATGGACGAAAGAGGGAGTGCTCAAAGAGCGGCCTCCACAGCAAGGAGGGGCCCCGTGAATCATCGCCGTGCCCCCTACCAAACGGCAACCTTACTAGTCTGCGTGACACCAAATCATCCAGCACATGTATCCAACACCAATGTTCGCAGACCCACGAACATATAGCATGTGCGGGATGGGAGAGGAGAGGTTGCCGAGAATTGTATGGGAGGCGTAATGGGCAAACAAGACGAGGGGTAGACAACCCACGGAATGGGTCAAGGTTGTAGAGGACGTATGGAAGGGGCTCGACATCGACGAAGATGAAACGCTGGAAACGGAGGGTCTACAGGGGTTCAAGGAGAAGATA